GCACCCCGTCGATAGGGTCAAAAATTGTCAAGTGCTGAGGCATAACAGAAACGTTGGGATTGTCAAAAAAAGACAATATATTTAAGATCTGTATATAAACATATCAATGAAAAAAAATACTAGGGATTACTGAAACATAATATTTGCCTATTAACTGTTTTCGAAGACAGAAAAAATACGATTTGTGTGTGGCATAGGGTCAAGTGTACGGAACTTGAGATTTACGAAGAAAACGAAATATATTTTGAGGGGCAATGTGTTTCAAATCTTTCGAACTAGCCTATCAAAACAAAATACTTGAAACGACTCGAAAACTGTTTGACGATTTATAAGTTACTTTACAGAAATTGAAATTGATATGAATGTTTGACCGAGTTTTTTTTTATATATATACCCAGGGGGAACAAAATGGAACGAACGCAACAATTAAAATAAATCCAAATTTTAAAATAAAATTAACTACATTTTTTGTAATATTATATTCAAAGAAAAAGAAAAAAAATAGAATGCACACACACAACAATTAAATTAAATCTGATTTTAAAATAAGAATAATACTTTTAATATTTTTTGTAATATTATAGACTAAATAGGTTAAATAAATATAAGTTTAATAATTTTTAAGTAAGTTACGTAACTTTAAATTCAATAATTTTATATACTTTTTAGAACTAAACTTAACAAATATTAGGTAACAATTATAATATTGACGCAAACCGCAGCCAAAACAATAGATTTGGTTAAATAAAATTAAACTAGATTATTACATATTCCATACTCAAAACATTAAACAAATAAAAATCACTTATATTTTCAGCGTAGTAAAATTCTACTAACAATAAAACTACCACGTCACCGCGAAAAGAACACAATAAAAAAAATGAAAATACACAGATAAACGCAAGTAGTGATACACATAGAAAAAACAATTATAATTACCACATTATTTACGCAATATTCAAATTTCAACAAATTACTAAATTTACCGAACAACGTACTATAACAAAAAAACATCTATCATGAAAATTAACGTAACTTATACACGTAACTAGTGGGAGCGACTCGCTTAGCTTTTAATAAAAATAATAATAGTAATTATTAAAAATATTAAAAATTTGTGAGGGGGGTTTATGGGGAATCGAATGCGTTTTCACCATTGTGACGGATTAAATAGGGGTTGATACTCCCCTTTCTTAGGGGATATGCAACGACTTCCATTATTACGTCTAGCGTTGCATCCCCAACGAAAGGGTTACACCAACTCCTTAACCCGACTTCTTTAAACACCCTGTAATTACCTGTGGAAAAGCCAACTAACTACGCGAATGAAACAGAATGTACTTTTAGCTTATTTAATCATTACTAATCATTACAGGTGTAACGGCATGACAATACCTACGTACTGTCATGCCCTTTGCCTAAAACCTAACGTACTCACAAATCTTTATTAATTACTAACGTAAAACGGTATCAACGGAGTAACGATAACGGAACGGAGGGAATAGTTTATAAAACCAATAATGCATCTGACCTTTACTGGAACGGGTTCTCCTCTCCTGGCACAACACACACACCACTATACACAAAGCGGGTCCAGCGCCTGGCGCGTGGACCCACTGACCTCCTCAGAGGATGATACAATTCTTAATGCCATTTTTCAACCCCAGACTGGACCTTATATTGGCATCCCTATTGGGCGTGGTGGGGGAGCGTCATTGCACTGGTGGTTATGCAACCCTTTTGACGACAATACCGATTGTCGTTACAATATATATTGGAATACATCTTCTTTAATTGAAACAAAACATGAAATGAAGAGAAACTATTTATTATAGCAATGATTTGTATTAATTCGGGAAAATGTGTGAAAAAGAAATTATGTCTTAATTAGAGAAATCGGGACACCACACCAAAATAATGAAAATTAGTAATAAAAGAATTAAATATTATATATTTGTAATACGTAATAATGATCATTAATACAACAGGGGGGATATATAGTGGCAAAAAAAATTGGTCACGTGAACGAAGAAATTTTAGAAATGTTAATAATATTTTGATATTTGTATTTGATTAAAAATGAAAACCAAGTTTATTAAAACATTAAAATGTTATGAGAGTATAAACTGAAGGCACAAGATCACAGTTCGTGATCCACCGAGATGCTGCCGAACTCTATTGAATAATACACTTTGTTTATATTGTCGAAGGACCAGATATAATTAGATAATGGCTATATCAGATCGATTAAATTAGAGAGACAATAGATAGTTTAGTTAATGTATATTTTGACAGAATAATACGTTGATATAAAATTTGAGTTAATATTACTTGTTGCTAGTTTGAATGTTGATTTTAGACTGATTTTAATTACTTTAAAAAAGTTAATACTGATTTATAGAGTTCTCTATATTTTTATATCATTTTTCTGATTGGTCCGTTTTGGATTTAAGTGACATCCCATTACATTTTTATATAATCAGTTGTTGACCTGCGATTTTTTTGAATCGAGTTCAATGAAGAAAAGTTTCTTAGAAGAGAGGATTAATATTTGAGGGTCTGCAAGAAACAGGAACAGGATACGTTACAATGAATTTATAATTTTTATTCTGTTAGAAAGGTATTAAAATATCTTTGAATAATTTAGAACAGGGTTGACGCCTTAGGCGTTAACAAAAATATGATTAAATATCAATAGCCAAATTCTGTATATGCGAGTATATACAGAATTTGACTATTTTTAATTGTCCTGCTTTAAATCACATAGATGAATGATTCAGAGTGTTGATTAATGCAGTTTTGATGCGTTTTTTCAGTAGATTCAAAATATATCTATAATAACACAGGTCCACAAAAAAGTTGTTTGTATTAAGTGTACGGCATATGTTTTCTAATGTAGTTTTTACCGCTAAACACGAATCAAAATTGGCAGTCAAATAACAAAAAATTGAAACAAAAACAACATCTCCGATCTAGAAATTCTTCAGCATGATAATTAAAATCTTATAATTTCTGTCATTTCCAGGCCCTTTTTACATTGAATGACTATTGAGTTTTAATTAATTGTTTTTTGTGTAATTCAGCAGTAATTTGAAAACGGATTGTTAAAAGGGGTTGTTTTGAACAGCATTCTTTTATTATCGTAGTTTTCTGAATACAGTAAAAGCTTCTTATTCGCGGGAATACGTTCCATAAGAAAGCCGCGAATAAAAATTCCACGATGACAAAATGAAAAATAATGTTGAGAACTATTATGAAATATGCAATATATTAAGTATAACAGGTACCATATTGAAATTAGTAATAAATCTAGTATCAAATCTCACAATAATGTAAAACTTAATATTAATTACAATAATCTATTCTTAAAATAAGAGTCGATTTATAAAAGTTTTATATTAATGTTAAATGTGGTACTAAACTTATTACCAACTAATTTCAATATGGGATCTGTCATAATTAAGATATGTAATACATATTCTCAACAATATATAAATAAATTATTTTTAATTATACTTTTGAAGTAAAACTTCTTTAGGCCCGAATTTACTAAGGTGTAAATCCCTTCAAATACAACGGAAGTGCGTTACGGTTCTCGATGAAATCATTTCTATATGGGTCGATTGTGATTAGACGTCGTGTATGTGAATAGAGATCTGTCGTTGTATGCGTACCGGCATCAACGTTGTATGCGTTCCAATATCAACAAGGAAATCGGCAAAGGTAAATAAACATTTTAAAGTTACATTATAGTACAAATCTTGATTTAATAAAAAATGCCTGAATCAGAAGAATATTTTAGCCCATTCCTTGAAAATATTAAAACAAATTAAACATTAATTAGAAATTATTTCTATATTACTCGTAGTTTCTATAAAATTGAATTTATTAAAACGGAAAATATTTTTAGGCAAGACAGATATTACAGGTTTTCAAAGAATGAGATTGTCGCCAACGAAAAAGTAAAAAAAATACAAGCAGCCAATGAATGTATGTTAATTTAAATTACAGGAAGTACTTCAAACACAATTACATGATGAGTGAAGTTTCGAAAACAATATTTGTTTAGGCGTTGTTTAACGTAATCCACTGTGTGACCGAATATTATAGAATTTATTAATCAACAATTTCTGCATTCCTCTAATGAAGGTTCATTTTTAAATGCTAATTACAATGACAAACCGATCATGTCAGATTTGAAGTATGACTTCAATTACATTATTGTTTTTAAATATTATACATATTTTTAATGCTATTACAAAAATATAATTTATAATTCATCATTATATAAATAATTTATCATCATGGGTGTTACCATATTACTGATAAACATTATGCAAAATTGTTATATGATACATTTATTTTCACTTAAATGCCAACTTGTACAGTAGCAAATAAGTTTTACTTCAGTCGCGAGTGTACCTTACGCGCACTCTTTTTTTGTACATTTTGATTAATTATGGTGAGCTAAGGTAATGGTTTGAAAAACTTTGTAATACTGTCTTGCTCGGCAGTTTTTAACTGCTTTCTTAATTCAAATTAATACTCAACAGTCACATCAGTAATTTGCATTTTAAAAATAGCTCTTTCCATAAACGAACCAATGCTCATATAGAAATCGGATTTCATGTCGATTTGAATTTAAAAATATAATTTATTTATTGAGTAATAAATAAGGTTGTATATATATATATATATATATATATATATATATATATATATTTATATATATACGTATAATATATTGGTTTACATTCTTAAAAGCGCTGATAGCAGCGAAGACGGCCGAGACAACGAAGGCGGCTTACTTATATCAAAGTTTTCTTTGTTAGTTCAAAATGACGGCATTTATAAAGGATTATGGGTTCATTACATATTGGAATCCGCAATTAACGAAATGTTTTGTCGCGAATATAACAATTGGGTCGCAACTTTTTTGGCCGCGAATGAAGAAAGTGCAAACAAGAAACTAATACTGTATACATATCATTTTTACTCACCGTCATGCGAATCGTACAAATAGATGATCTTCTTCCAGCCGTAGTATCGCACCGTGTCGATGATCGCCTGGTGGTAGTCGGGGCGCATACTGATCGCGTAGTCGAGGAAGCCAGACGACGGCGTTAGCACCTGAAAAACGAATTTGAATGCCGCGTCAGGAATAATTTTTGTTATAATATTTGCTAGAAAGAATATTTGCGCTGCTCGCACATGCGTTTGTTATTCAAACATAATTTTTCATTTTTAAACTAGCTAATCTTCAATTAACTATTAAGAACTATCGCACAATTCTAGGTTAACACAAGGGGCACCTGCTTTAGAGGCGCTAAACAATCTTTTTTTTTGCAAAAATGTCTTTTTAATATATCCATAAAATTTCAGAAACAAATTCAAAATATTTTCAGAGTTTCAGAAGAAATAGTGAGCAAGCGTCGAGTAGGTATACAAGCGGAACAAGAACTTCGACGCGCGATTTCTCGATTTTTCATTTTTTCTAATTGGCGAGAAATATAGGAAAAAATTTAACGTCCTAACGAAACGAGACGGAATTGATTTTATTCAGAATTAAATTCTCTCCTAGTTGAACCTAAAAAAATCTTAAATTTACTTAATTACTTAATTAGGTCACTTTTTAATCAATATAAAGTGATTTTTTTTTTCCAAAGAAATATATGCTAAGTTGCAAAAAATTGTTGAACTTCTCACTTTTTTAGATTTTGTAGGTTTAACTAGAATCTATACTATTGAAAATATAAATTTGTTTTGTTTTTTTTTTGTTTCGGATGGAAATTGTGACCAGCATCTTTCCCGCCACACGACAAATGCACGCTCGTGGCGCCTCGTCAAAATGCTTGTGCCCGGCATATTATGACATATATTTTAATAAAAAAATTCGAGAAAAATGTTAAAATATATATTTATCTTCTTTCCTAAAAATTTTCCACGTAGATCTACCGTTAATTTTAGTACGTAATACGGATTCTGATTTTTACACAGTTATTTTTTTATACTTTTTTGTATAGTATTATTAACTCTATCTAGTTTGTTGTTTTTAATTTTTAAAAAGTGATGTTGAATTTGAAAACCTTAATGAAGAATTCGAAAGATGTTTCAAGTGATGACAGTAAATTTTTATCACTCAAAAACAAAATTATACATAGATTATATTCTTTAGAGAGTGAATTTAACCATAATGATTTGAATAGAGATCAATCAAGTCTTAAAAAAGCTGTTTCTTAAAAAATACTAAATACTAGTTTATTTTAGTTACAATGCTTACAATCCCGCCCGTTAAGTGTTAAATTGAAATTGAACTAAGAATAGTACACGTGAGAAATTAAAAATTAGATTTTTTGAAGAAAAATGTTTTGTAACTCCAACATATTATAATAACATAGTATACAATTTCATTAACTAATTTTAGCATCTTCATACGCTTTACAATTAGTTTTCTTTCAAGCAAAAGTAAACCCGGTATCTGCAAAATAAAAGTACCAAAAATCAAAATACCACGAATTTAGAAAATGTTATTAATATATTCTAAAAACAATTAAATAATTTGGAATTACGGATAGCACGTAAAGTAACAGACTTATTAAATACCAATTTGTTTTGGATGGATCAGTTACTCTGAGTTTTCAATCAAAATTATATATTCAGTAATAACTTTATTACTGACATTAGTACTGTTCCGAACAGAATATGTTTTTTACGTTTTTATGCAAATTTTTATATGCCATAATTCAATTAAAATATGGTAGCAAATGTTTTTTTTTTAATTTAAAAATTTGCGTAACACAAATCGATGTAAAAAAAACTATTTATAATATAATTATCTTATAAGTTGTACAACCAAAGCATTTCTATGTAACTACTAAAGTAAATATTGCTAATAAAGGTGCTTTTTTTCTCGAATTATTTACGAAAATCGCACATTTTTTCAAATCCTGATAATATATTCATACCATTGAATGAATTTCACTAAATAAAAATGCTTTGTGATTTATGCTTATATATATATATATATATATATATATATATATATATCTACATCATGGTTTTGATCGGAAGCCTCATAATTTATAATTATGAAATAAAAAATTTAATAATCGTTTTCAATTTGATAGCATATTTGTTTAATTAATTTAACAATATTGCACAGAATTTAATAATATGCTACACGAGTTTTAATATAGTTTAATAAATTATTTTGATTTATTACAGTTAATTAATTATAATGTTTTTTTTAAATTTAAATGCTAAATTATAATATAAACAGACCAATAGAAAAACATTGAAATGGGATGGCTAGGAGGCAAAGAGGTTGAATGTCTTATTCTTAATTTTGAAGGAACATCATATGCATTATTCAACCAATGCAAAATATAAATTACATGGGTGCATTTTTTGCAGAGAGAACACTGTATATAACCTTGATCTGGTATTTCGTTAGAATTCATCAGCAGAGTTGGAACTTATTAGTTCAATTTTTCTCTTGTAAATTTTTTATCTTAATTTACATTTTCATTCATTATTTTTTATTATTTATACTTTTGCCAGGGTAAATATTTAGATGGTCATTTTACCCAACCCACGTGTGAGATTTCATAGAGGTTATAAAAAAACTGGTGAATATAAATTAATATTAGGAATTCATTTTATAAAACAACTAAATAACGTAAGCCTTAAAATTATATTAAAGTCTGGTGAACTAAACAGCAGTGCTCATAACCAAAAACCCTAACAACGAAAGAAAATACTTATGTCATGGATTTGCAGACAATGCCGTTCATCTCACGATAGCGATGTCATAATAATCAAGGTGGTGACTCATTATACATCTTTTTTGTGACTAATTTCAAATATAGTTGTTAAAAATATTATTATTAATTCTTCTCTCTTGTTTTTGAGATATCGGTAATGCACCTTTTTAACGGCGGACCTTATTCTACATTCATATAGTAATAATAATAAGAATTAACTTTTACCATATTTCATTATCCTTTTACATCTATGTATTTGCGATGTTTAAATTCCACTGTAAAATTCCATTTCACAATATTGCAATAGCAATAAAAACTTGAATCAACAAAACAAATTTTGCACACTTTAAAAAAAATATCATTTAAAAATCACACACCTACTTCAATAAATAATTAAACAGCATCCGAAAAATATCCATTCGAACATTTTTAGTTGCCAATAAAGCCGTCACAAAATAATTCGAAAATTCGCATGCCGTGAAAATAAAACACATCGAAATGCCGTGTATATGACTCTGGGGAAAAAAGTGGCAGAATGGGAACCGATTGCGTAATAAAAATAATCTATAACACGATCGTAAAATTAAAAATACAATTCTGATTACGATTCGCGGGGAACAAACTGGCAAGCGATCGCGTTATTACAAACGCTACAAATTATGTCCGTGTTCGGCCATGCAGTTTAATGGCTCCGCTTTCGCAGTTTAAAAGCTGCTACCATTCTACGCCATTATATAATATAATATGTTAAATGCTTATACGGGAACTGCTCTAAGAGCAGCCGATATATTACAATTTCCGATAGAAATCTATTAGACACACACGCACGCTCCTATACATTCATTTCATACATATGGACTTCGGGAAGAGGTGCCATGAAATAGACGTTTGTATTTCAGATGTTCCGCAAAATAGAAGAGTTGATATTTTAATTACGTTTGAGCTGTATAAAAGACCTTCATTATATTTCCATTGTGCTGCAATGCGGTTACGCTTTTTATCTTATTTTTTCAAAACGAATATTAAGCGTCAGCGTGTACCATCGAGAAAAACTACGTACCAAATGTTCCTTAAAATTCAAAGCGTTTGTTATAATTTATATATATATATATATATATATATATATATATATATATATATATATATACACTGCATAAACCTTTATCTGGTATTTTGCCGGAAATAATCATCACCAGATTTGGAATTACTATTTTATTAACTTACCTCTTGTAAAAAAAAATTTTAACTTTTCGTAGGGTAGTTATAGTAATGGGCCGAAAATCGAAAATAAAATGTTTTGCATTTCTCTGCGTTTTGAAGGTTTCTGAACATTTTGGCATACCTCAGAAAAAATGGATGTGTGTGTGTGTTTTATGTCCGCATTTTTTTGTTCACGTTTTCGGGTGCACGGATCAACCGATTTGAATGGTTCAAAGATTCGATTCCTATTATTCCTATTCATATTAATTAGTTTTTGGCAAAAACAGGTTCAGCCGTTACGGAGATAAAAAGCGAAAAGTTCAGAAAATAGAAATCGAGTTTTTGAGATAACGGAGCATCCGATTTGAATGATCTAAAAAATATTCAATTAGTAATAATTGGGAGAAATGGTTATTAGTTTTTGGCGAAGACAGGCCTAGCTTTTTTAAAGATACAGAGCTAAATGTACAAAAAATGGCAGTTTTCGAGAGAAATAAGCATCCGAATTGAATGATTTAAAAAACTTTCTGCTTATGTTGACAAAACAATTGCTTTAAAAAAAAATCATTTTTTTTGTATATCGAAAATAATTCAAATTTTAATTTTAATTCTGATTAATGTTCTAATATAATTTAAACAAATAATTTGAACTTTGCAATTCAGTTTATATGATTCTTATAAATATTAGACAATGTTGCAGTATTTATAATTTCGTTACGGTGCGGAAAGTTCCAGCAATTTGTCTTAAAGCACGATGCCATACACTACTAGTTTTAATTTAATTTACTTTATTATTTATTATCTTTTATTGTTTACACCTTTGCCGGGATAAGGACTGAGATGGTCCATTTTACCGCACCCACATAAGAGCTTTTATAGAGGTTATATAAAAAAAACTGTTGAATCTAAGCTAAAATTAACAATACATATTACAAAACAATTGAATAACGTATACCTAAACATTATATTAAACTAAACCTGAAACACCAATAGAAAACTACGAACGAAAGAAAATACTTTTGTTATGGATTTTCAAACATTGTACTTCATCTCCCTCCCTTTTTCCCTCTACTTTCAAATATCGTTGTTAGAAAATGCTTAACTTAGTTTTAGACATTAGTTTCTTTATATATATATATACGATATATATATATATATATTATAACT